AAAACGTACAGCTCTGCTGTCACTTCCAACATAAATGAAGACAGAAAACTAAACAGCAGTGACGTTTGTAGGGTTACTGAAGTTGGGCTAGCTGCTATATAATGATGTGCTACGTGATCGCTAGCAACACAGCTACGTTAGCATAACATTAGCACAGTGAAGCTGCAGGATGAAGCTAACTTTCTTCCACTGAATAAAAGTTAACGTGAAGGTTCCTGATGGTTAGAGACAAATACAGGCCGACAGTGATCACTGACTGTTTTTAGGGGCTTGTTCAGATTAAACAGAACAACTTACAAAAGATTAAAACATGTTAAAAACACAACAGCCTTAATAAATGCAGAGTAGTTTGGACTGAAGCATCACATCATCACTTAAAGACTATGTGTGAATAAATAACGCATTTGAAAATAAACAGGAAGTAAATAACTCTGAAATATTAATAACAGTTTTAGATTTTAATTAATTAACACAAATACTATCATTGAGTCAGTGGTTCCATCGTGTGTGTGAGATCTCACCTTGCAGCCTTCGCAGGCGTGCACGCCGTAATGGAAACCCGAGGCGACATCGCCGCAGACCTTACAGAGCAGCACCATGCCGTTCAGCTCTGAAACACAGTCACACGCAGGAAGTGACATCAGAGGTTCCGTTCAGCTCAACACACAAACATGCAAAAACGAACTGCGTGCTTACTGGTCAGACTGGCCACAGACTTGCTGGGCGACGTCCTCAGAGAGCCGCCGTCGTCGCGGCCTCGAGGCGAGCCTCCCCCCGAGGAGGAGGCCGAGGAGGACCCGTCGTCTCCGGCCGACCCTGAGCTGGAGCCGGAGCTGAGGAAGGGCAGGGTGAGGGAGGAGGAGGAGGTGAAGAAGGACTGGGAGTTGGAGTTCTCACTGTACATGGAGACCGGACTGGTCCGAGTGGGAGAGCCTGCGGAGGAGCCCACGTAGGAGATCACGCCTCCTGCAGGAGAGCAAGGGGAGGTCAGAGGTTACTGACAGCGGTGAGGGGGAAGCGTTCCACCTCTACTCCTCGAACGCTCTGAGCAACTCGGCTTTACTGCTTGTACGCATCACAGCCTCCTCCTACAAAATAAAAGCCTGTAAGTGCTTATTTCTGCTCTTTGTTCTTTCACCTCGTGACACGCAGCGACCTTCACAGAGCATCAGTGTTGACTAACGATGTGTTCATGGACACGGCGAGGAGTCAGAAACACTAACAGGAGGAAACCCTGATTCTTTGTTATGAGAGGAGGATGTTTGTCTGCACATGTCAGAGCTGCACGGGACGCACGCACGACCAGTGCGAGCTGTGATCACCTTCATGTTCAGCTGCTCAGTGGTTTGTGAGTCTCACACACTCACACAGCAAGGCCCGCTGCCAGCTCACAAACTGGGTCACCAAGACAGGAACAAGGAGAGCAGCCGCCATCACCTTCACGCTACACGAGGAACCACAGCGAGCTCACAGACACACAGAGGAGTCAGCGTGGAAATGCAGACACAAACGAGCTGATGAAGGTCACGTGACGTGTTTGTAAAGCTGCACATGGACTCTGAG